TTAAGGATAAAGAATCAAGAAAATCTTAGCACCAAAACAAACTATCTACTTTTTAATTTGGACTTACACGGAACCGTAACGAACGTCTGACTACATCTCTATTTCTAATATTCTTCCCATTAAAATGAAATTGTTATCAAAAGTTTGGAAATTGTTTTTATTTAATAAAAAAGGAAAGGTATATTTTTTTGAAGCATTTAAAAATTTATGACAGGAAATTTGGATGATAAAATATTTTAAAAAGCAGTAAAATAGAAAAAAAATAATAAAAGTTCTATTAAAGATTATTCACAAAAAGAAATTGTTACGAAAAGTTTGGAAAATTGTTTTCTGTAAAAAATGTAAATAACAATAAAAATCCCAAAAAAATTTGTATAATGTTTTTTTTAGTATTTAAAAATTTATGACAATAATTTTGGATGTTAAAATATTTAAAGAAGCAGTAAAATAACAAAAAAAAAAAAGTCCTTTTAAAGATTATTTACGAAATGAAATTGTTATGAAAAGTTTGGAAATTGGGTTTCGTTTAAAAAAAATGGTAGAATTTTTTTTGAAGTATTTAAAAATTTATGACAAGAATTTGGATGATAAAATATTTAAAAAAGCAGCAAATTAACAAAAAAAAATTATTTTAAATATTATAATAAGCAATCATATATTTTGTAAATCACACAATGAAATTGTTATGAAAAGTTTGCAAATTGATTTTCTGAAATTGTTCTGCTATTCTACTTTGAATGCATAAGTACCCCTAAAACTAACCAATAACCAAAAATAAAGGAGCAAGAGAGAATGATAGAAACAAGGAAGATTGCAACACAACTGAATCAAATATTGCGGACTCCTATCTGGGCTGTGTTTCCGGCCTTTGTTCCAGGGTACATTTCGTTTATTTGCTTTTGATATTTTCATTCATCTTCGCTTCTCGCTTTCACCCCGTTCAGCAGAATCATCAGTTAACTGATTCGGTTCACAATTTCCATAAGAAATCAATGGTAATTTATTTTTCTATCCACCTTCACTCTGAATTAAATAGTCTATTTCCATTGTGGCCACAACCTTAACGGAAATCCCCATTTTTCATAGAAATATGGCGCCTTTCAAACTTCGTTTTATGTTGGATACGGGAGCAAACTTTCCATATAGGACAAACTCTTTGCCCTGTTTTAAATGCACATGGTAATGAAGTAAATTCATGAAAATGCAAACGAATGCACGGTGGTGGTCCAAGGTAAGTTTGGAAAGGAGACTTGAAATTAGTGTTTAAAATGCACATGGTAATGAAGTAAATTCATGAAAATGCAAACGAATGCACGGTGGTCCAAGGTAAGGAGACTTGAAATTAGTAATATCTGCCAAAAACATTAAAACGTAAGTAAAACTCAATGAACAAGGTATAAGTTTCATAAAAAATAAGACAGTAGAAATATGAAATCCCATGAAACAATTTCATAAGGGCTTACAAACGATGGGAACATTTACCTTTGGCATAAGGAGGTCAAAACACCCCAGCCATTAGATGCCAAATCTAACAGGTTTGGGTGTGTCACAAAGTTAAAGAAATCTTCAGTTGACCATTGAGCCTGGTCAATGGCACAAGCCCAACCTCCAGATTACAAATCTAATACCAGGAATTGCGACCTCCTTGTAACAAAGGTAAATGATCTTATTAGGTAATTTTTTCATTTCATAAATTCCCAAATAAAAAATAAAAACCATAAATGAATTAAATTTCTATATTGCAATAATCTAATGCCAACCTGCTCACAAACACATTTGTCTCTCTCAATGTGCTCAGTATCATCATGGGACGGTGGGTTGATGACAAGATAAATTGCAAATACATGAGTATGTGAGAAAGAGAGAGAGAGAGAAATGGATACTAGGATAATCTAACATAAAAGTGTGTTTGATTAATATGGTTTGAGTCTCTCTTTGGCATATTTCCATACGCAATTTCACTATTCAACTTAGATAAAGAATATTAATTCCTCCACCAAGAAAGAAGAAATTTGCCCACATAAGGAAACATGGGTTAACAATAGTTATTGAATCAGGATCAGGACCACCTGATCGTGATGAACAGAAAGCTCTCTATGGTAGGGGTCGCAGCCGCATACCCCGAAATCTAGAGATCGCAATCCCAATATGTGACACAGAGATGGGTTGGAGCAGAGAGTTCCTTTGTGCTATTGATCCTTGGGAGGCAGAGTAGGTGTACTATATCTCGATTATCAAGTCATCAGACTTTAGGTCCACTTGAGCATAAAGAATTAACCAAATAGGGTTTTGGGTTAGCCCTTGATGAGGTCGGAGCTTATACCTAGATGAGTGAGCCGAAAGACTGTGTGACCCTTGTGTGTGATGGTAGGTCTATTGAAACGGAGGCCAAATCCTCATCCATATTCCATCACACGACATGCATATCGCTAGATCGTTTGGGAAAGCCAAATATCCACCTTTGGGTGAAGCGTATGCATGTGCGAGAGATACTCCTATGCACCATAAAACTGTAGTCGTATCAGGTCATGGTGACATTGACTCGTCTTTAGGGGAGGACATATAATCCATAGACTGGGATTGCAACCCTTTGACTCATCGGGTAGAATTTGGTGTCCAGCTAATGAGCCCTTGCTTGGACTGTGGGTCATGGGAAACACTTTGTCAGTTCGATAAAGCTAGTGTGGTCTGTAATTCACAGTTGAAGGTGGAGTACCCCATAATTACAGATTGAATTCTTAAAACCATATGGATCCTTTTCCCATCATATTAATTTAATTGCTTTCATTTTATTATTTTAGATCTATTATTTGAATTTTTATAAGTCATTTGATATTTTATTTATTATTTTTAAACTTATAAAAATGAAGTTATTAATTTACAAAGTTATAATGTTTTAAAATTTCAATTTTAAAATAATTATAAAAAATACATCGGGGCCCATAGTGCACATGGGCCCACCATGTGGGTATTGGGTGGGGCCCCACGTGCCTCATATGGGTGATCCGCCACACCCTTGGATGCCTCTTCTTGATTACTCCGAGTACAAGTTTATTGAATGTGGAAACTCTATTTTGTAATATATGGTCAAATATTGATTAGGAAATATTGACTTTATCTTATCTTGATTATTGAAGGAATATCTCGACTTGATATTATTGAAATATTCTTATGGAAAATATGAGATGGAATATGCAATTTTATGGTATGCACTATACCTTTGATAGATTTAATTTATTTAAATATATTGATGGGAAAATGGTTTAAGAAAGTGGAGATAATGGCCCATGTACCTTCCATAATGTTGATGGCCCATCTATGGAATGGATGACTCAGATCTCTCACCCCACAAGGCACCTTGATCAACGATCCATATCTATCTCCCACAAAAAGTATGCGACAAAAATGATTAAAGGAAATGTCCTCCTACTTTTGTTTTCTCTGCCGCACTGGTTCAACATAGCTTTTGTTTTCTCTCCCGCATTGGCTCAACATACCGCGCATTTGACCATACACAGATTTGGATCATTTGACCATCCACAGCATTGGATATTCATTGAGGGCAAAAGAGCTTGTTGCACAACATATGTAGTCTCCTCCTAGTATTCTAAGTGATCTGATGGACCATATTTTTCTTATTCTAAGTGATCTGATGGACCATATTTTTCTTTAATTAACCTTTCAAGGTCATCCAAATCTTGTTCAACCTCGTCTTGTAACTCATTTTCCACATCAATAAAATCTTTCACATGAACATGAAATAGAGTTATATAATTATACAAAATATTTTTATTTGTTGAGAAATACTAAAATAGGGCTATGCGTAGTTGCTTAAAATAACGAAATTCTAGTATTTTTAGGAATGAAACTGTAATTCGATGATTATTCTCTGTGAAGTACATCACAGCATTAACATGAATGCTTCAAGATTGATAATATCATTCTATGATTATTCTCTATGAAGTACATCACAGCATCGAGATTGATAATATCAGAGCAGCACTATATACACCATGACCGTTCAGAGTCAAGAGGAAACATTCTTCATTATCGCAATTATAGAAATTTATTTTCCTACTGATATGAAACCATAAAAAATCAAAATAGAAGCCACAACTTTCTCGCATTATCAAAGCACCAAGAGTGGAACATCATTCTCCTGCCATTAAAGCAGAGGTTCAAAAATCAGGGAGCAAAGTAGATTCACATTAGGTACTTATGGCTACGCTTAAAAGTGCCAGTCAGAGTTGAGCCTATAGGTTTGACATTTCTGCATAGCGGGGTGATTTGATTAGATCTGTCTGAAGCTCAAAAATCTCAAACAACAGGATAGCCACTCTCAGAGAAAATCAAGAACAACAGGTATGGTCATTTTCCCACAAGAGACCGTACAATCTACGCACATTCTCCATGATCTTATTGAAGAAAAAAATTTAAATATTTTCAAAACAAATGTACATTCTAGGAAATTTACTAGCTTTGTTCATTACCAGTTGAGAGGACTTATTATCCAAAGAGAGTCAACTTATTTCAGAAAATAAATGAGTCAAAATATTTTGTTGAGTATAATCCTTTAAAGAAAGTAAGACTCAATAGTCGCATCGAAAATGATTACAAGTTACAAGAGCTAGGTACATTAGAGCATATGGCCATTAAAACATTAAATAAACACTCGTGCCTACAACAAATAGCATTACATAATATAAGCATAAATTAAATATAAATTAAAGAAATTTACATTAAGTAAATTAATCTTAATGTAAATTAAATAAATTTAAATAGCAACTAAAGAGAGGGAATTGTGAGAAGAAGAAAATAAGTGAATGAAATATAAAACATGATATTTTCGTTCTTTTGATTTTTTTTTTTTCTTTATCTTTTTCTTTATATGATTTTTTTTTTTTCTCTTTTTCCTTTTCAAAACTTTCAATGATATGAACCACATTGTAGAAGATTTTTTATGATATGAACCATTGTGAGGGCTTACAAACCCCATAATCAAAACCACCCAACAGCATACTCACATATTGAATTAAAAATTCCACTTCCCACAAATTTGCAGTAATTAAGCTGAAGAAAGAAAATTGGAAAGAGAGATCATCATCACTTGCAACAGCTGCGATATCGTTCAAAATCTCAAAACCAGGTCGACTCTTGCATTTTCTCAGGCGGTAATCATCTTCAACCACATCATCTATCAATTCTGATCTCTTCTGCTTCTTCTTCATCTTTCCACCATCATAGTCATCCTCGTCTTTTTTGTAATGTCTGGTCATGGCTATAAGTCCGAAGTTTCACTGCAAACGAATTAGGTTCAGAAACAAAGAGATGGGCTTTGCTAATTAATTAGAGAAAGAGGGGAAAAGTACAAAAAAAACTTCTAAATGCAGTAATGGTGTACTTCTAAATGGCATTAATATCGTCTCTTAATCATACGAGGTCGGAATATCACCTCTCTAATGGATACACACTCTGAAATTTAAATACAAATGCAGCGAGTTTATCTTCTTATCTTTGATGATAGAGGAAATAAGAAAAAAAGATCAACATGACAACCTCATTAATTACCCACGAGTATACTTATTGCTCAATAGCACATGACCCTACATTAGAATATTTAGAAGACTAAGAGAGTATACTTATTACTCAATAACACATTACCCTACATTAGAACATTTAGCTGACTAAGGTATTAGGTATACAAAACATTGATCCTGCAGCTTGTTTAAGTTTTGGAAAGTTCGCTGAAGAAAATTTCCGAAGTTTAAATCTATCTTTTTTTTTTCGGGAAACTTCCATTATAACAATTCTCTTTTTTACCCAAAATGGAGAAAGAAGGGTTGCATGATTTTATATGCCCTAAAGGACCCATCACTATACCTTTATAGGCTCATTGGTGCATAAGGATTCCATGCACCGTCACTCATGGCAGTTGGCATTCCATCATGGATTGGAGTGGCCCCTGTATAGGAAAATCATCATAGACACATTAAAGTGAATTTCATCTCCATTGGGATGGAACAGTACGTATATGAAAAAAGAGGAAATAAGTTTCATGAGTCAAGAAGAGGAAAACAGGACTCAAAGAACAAAAAAGAGAGAAAAAGAAAAAAGAAAAAGGAAATTCATGACAATTTTGCCACCCTTTCAATTAAATTTACATGAATCTTTTAATTAAATTTACATCAATCTTTAAAACCAAAATGTTGAAATAATAGGGAATTATTTCAAGAATGTTAAAAATTAAGACCACCACAATAAATGCATACCTCCTGCATCTCTCATCGGAGTCATTTGGGGCATTGGGTTTCGTGGTCCAAACCATACATTGGGTTTCGTGATCGAAACCATACAGTTGAGATGAATCCTGATAGGCACATAAAAGCCAATGTTCAGAAACAGTGTAAACTTCCCAACCAAATAATTAGGAAAGACAATAACCATTTTACCTAGGTGTCGTCATAACTACAACCACAACAATTTGATTCTTATTAACTGCATTTTAGAACATACCCTTAGTCAAAAATAAAAGAAAACCAACGCAAAAGGCAATCCCAATAATAACATAAAAGTACTTTGCCAAAGCTTGAACTAACACAAGAAAAGTTTCATTAGGGTGGGGACCCTAGGTGGGTACTTCATAGGCCCTACCCACATGCAATGGTGGGACCATTAACATATTAAAATAAATTATGATTTTTAAAAATTCATAAAATTCAATAAAAATAAATTACTCTGAGTACAAGTTTATTGAATGTGGAAACTCTATTTTGTAATATATGGTCAAATATTGATTAGGAAATATTGACTTTATCTTATCTTGATTATTGAAGGAATATCTCGACTTGATATTATTGAAATATTCTTATGGAAAATATGAGATGGAATATGCAATTTTATGGTATGCACTATACCTTTGATAGATTTAATTTATTTAAATATATTGATGGGAAAATGGTTTAAGAAAGTGGAGATAATGGTCCATGTACCTTCCATAATGTTGATGGCCCATCTATGGAATGGATGACTCAGATCTCTCACCCCACAAGGCACCTTGATCAACGATCCATATCTCTCTCCCACAAAAGTATGCGACAAAATTGATTAAAGGAAATGTCCTCCTACTTTTGTTTTCTCTACCGCACTGGTTCAACATAACTTTTGTTTTCTCTCCCGCATTGGCTCAACATACCGCGCATTTGACCATCCACAGATTTGGATCATTTGACCATCCACAGCTTTGGATCTTCTTAGAGGGCAAAAGAGCTTGTTGCACAACATATGTAGTCTCCTCCTCGTATTCTAAGTGGATCTGATGGACCATATTTTTCTTATTCTAAGTGATCTGATGGACCATATTTTTCTTTAATTAACCTTTCAAGGTCTTCCAAATCTTGTTCAACCTCGTCTTGTAACTCATTTCCCACATCAATAAAATCTTTCACATGAACATGAAATAGAGTTATATAATTATACAAAATATTTTTATTTGTTGAGAAATACTAAAATAGGGCTATGCATAGTTGCTTAAAATAACGAAATTCTAGTATTTTTAGGAATGAAACTGTAATTTGATGATTATTCTCTGTGAAGTACATCACAGCATTAACATGAATGCTTCAAGATTGATAATATCATTCTATGATTATTCTCTATGAAGTACATCACAGCATCGAGATTGAGAATATTAGAGCAGCACTATAGACACCATGACCGTTCAGAGTCAAGAGGAAACATTCTTCATCATCTCAATTATAGAAATTTATTTTCCTACTGATATGAAACCATAAAAAATCAAAATAGAAACCGCAACTTTCTCGCATTATCAAAGCACCAAGAGTGGAACATCGTTCTCCTGCCATTAAAGCAGAGGTTCAAAAATCAGGGAGCAAAGTAGATTAACATTAGGTACTTATGGCTACGCTTAAAAGTGCCAGTCAGAGTTGAGCCTATAGGTTTGACACTTCTGCATAGCGGGGTGATTTGATTAGATCTGTTTGAAGCTCAAAAAATTCAAACAACAGGATAGCCACTCTCAGAGAAAATCAAGAACAACAGGTATGGTCATTTTCCCACAAGAGACCGTACAATCTACGCACATTCTCCACGATCTTATTGAAGAAAAAAATTTAAATATTTTCAAAACAAATGTACATTCTAGGAAATTTACTAGCTTTGTTCATTACCAGTTGAGAGGACTTATTATCCAATGAGAGTCAACTTATTTCAGAAAATAAATGAGTCAAAATATTTTATTGAGTATAATTCTTTAAAGAAAGTAACCCTCAATAGTCGCATCGAAAATGATTACAAGTTACAAGAGCTAGGTACATTAGATCATATGGCCATTAAAACATTAAATAAACACTCGTGCATACAACAAATAGCATTACATAATATAAGCATAAATTAAATATAAATTAATGAAATTTACATTAAGTAAATTAATGTCAATGTAAATTAAATAAATTTAAATAGTAACTAAAGAGAGGGAATTGTGAGAAGAAGAAAATAAGTGAATGAAATATAAAACATGATATTTTCCTTTTTTTGATTTTTTTTTTTTTCTTTTTCCTTTTCTATATATGATTTTTTTTTTTTTTTTCTCTTTTTCCTTTTCAAAACTTTCAATGATAAGAACCACATTGTAGAATATTTTTTATGGTATGAACCATTGTGAGGGCTTACAAACCCCATAATCAAAACCACCCAACAGCATACTCACATTTTGAAATAAAAATTCCACTTCCCACAAATTTGCAGTAATTAAGCTGAAGAAGGAAAATTGGAAAGAGAGATCATCATCACTTGCAACAGCTGCGATATCGTTCAAAATCTCAAAACCAAGTCGACTCTTGCATTTTCTCAGGCGGTAATCATCTTCAACCACATCATCTATCAATTCTGATCTCTTCTGCTTCTTCTTCATCATCCTCGCCTTTTTTGTAATGTCTGGTCCTGGCTATAAGTCCGAAGTTTCACTGCGAACGAATTAGGTTCCGAAACAAAGAGATGGGCTTTGCTAATTAATTAGAGAAAGAGGGGAAAAGTACACAAAACCTTCTAAATGCATTAATGGTGTACTTCTAAATGGCATTAATATCGTCTCTTGATCATACGAGTTCGGAATATCACCTCTCTAATGGATACACACTCTGAAATTTAAATACAAATGCAGCGAGTTTATCTTCTTATCTTTGTTGATAGAGGAAATAAGAAAAAAGGATCAACATGACAACCTCATTAATTGCCCACGAGTATACTTATTGCTCAATAGCACATGACCCTACATTAGAATATTTAGCAGACTGGGAGAGTATACTTATTACTCAATAACACATGACCCTACATTAGAACATTTTGCTGACTGAGGTATTAGGTATACAAAACATCGATCCTGCAGCTTGTTTAAGTCTTGGAAAGTTCGCTGAAGAAAATTTCCGAAGTTTAAATCTGTCTTTTTTTTTTTCTGGAAACTTCCATTATAACAATTCTCTTTTTTACCCAAAATGGAGAAAGAAGGGTTGCATAATTTTATATGCTCTAAAGGACCCATCACTATACCTTTATAGGCTCATTGGTGCATAAGGATTCCATGCACCGTCACTCATGGCAGTTGGCATTCCATCATGGATTGGAGTGGCCCATTGGGATGGAACAGTACGCATATGAAAAAAGAGGAAATAAGTTTCATGAGTCAAGAAGAGGAAAACAGGACTCAAAGAACAAAAAAGATAGAAAAAGAAAAAAGAAAAAGGAAATTCATGACAATTTTGCCACCCTTTCAATTAAATTTACATCAATCTTTTAATTAAATTTACATCAATCTTTAAAACCAAAATGTTGAAATAATAGGGAATTATTTCAAGAATGTTAAAAATTAAGACCACCACAATAAATGCATCCTCCTGCATCTCTCATCAAAGTCATATGGGGCATTGGGTTTCGTGATCCAAACCATACATTGGGTTTCGTGATCCAAACCATACAGTTGAAATGAATCCTGATAGGCACATAAAAGCCAATGTTCAGTGTAAACTTCCCAACCAAATAATTAGGAAAGACAATAACCATTTTACCTAGGTGTCGTCATAACTACAACCACAACAATTTGATTCTTATTAACTGCATTTTAGAACATACCCTTTGTCAAAAATAAAAGAAAACCAACGCAAAAGGCAATCCCAATAATAACACAAAAGTACTTTGCCAAAGCTTGAACTAACACAAGAAAAGTTTCATTAGGGTGGGGCATCTTACCCTAGGTGGGTACTTCATAGGCCCTACCCACATGCAATGGTGGGACCATTAACATATTAAAATAAGTTATGATTTTTAAAAATTCATAAAATTCAATATAAATAATTAAATCAATTTAAAATGAATATATCTTTTTTTATAAATCCAAATTTGATAAATAAAATATCCAGAGATCTAGAAAAATTCAAATAATAATTCTAGAAATCGTATATCATTCAAACAAATGTAATTAAATTTATTAAATGGGAAAGTGATCCATATAGTTTAAGAATTAAATAAATAAATATTGGGACACTTCACCTTCAACTATGAACTACGGTCCATATTTGCTTTATCAAACCGACCCAGTGTTTCCCATGATCCATAGTCCATACAGGGGCTTATGGGTCACCAAAGTTTGGCAGATAAGTCAAAGGGTCATAATCCCAGTTTGTGGATTTCAGGTTCTCCTCTAGAGGCATACCAAGGTCACCTAGACATGATGCCGACTACAACTCTAATGACGCATAGTGGTATCTCTTACACATGCATAAGCTTCACCCTAAAAGGTGGTTCGCTTTTTCGAAACGACTATCATATATGCATGAGGCTTTGACCCTCGTCTTTAAAGGCCACCAATACAAAAGGGTCACACAGTCTGCCATACTCCGACCTCATCAAGGAATGTCCTATTAGAACCCTTAATGGATAGTTTTCCATGCCTAGATAACATAGGTTGTTTCCAACCGACTGAACTAGCTTGTCAAGTTCAATCTGGTTTTAGTAAATATCGTTTGCTTAATATGGCATGCACATAACCACACTCCTATTAAGTTCATGTTCCATCATATCAAAACGTTTATTACAAACCCTCATAAATCCTTTAATCGTCACACTCACCCAATACCCAAGCGATCTAATTTGACATCTAATAAGTGGGAATAGTTGTGGCCCTCATACAAAAGGTCTGTCTGTAAATAAGTAGAAAATATATCATAGCTTAGGAATAAGAACAATACTTCAATTTTAATAAGGAGCTAGAGGAATATAACTTCAAACAACTTAATAACAAGCTAAAAAAATCTATACGTCGGATCACATATT